CTCCCTGCTCCCGTCTCCATCTGAATCCCCATCCCCCCCTGCTCCCGTCTCCGTCTGAATCCCCATCCCGCCCGGGCAGCTGGAGCCCGCGGGATCGGCCTCAGGGCTGGAGAAGCAGCGGCTGATGCTGAGCAGAAGGCACAGAGGTGGATCTGCATCCCTTGGGAAGGACTGCGAAGAGCATCCGAGGAGAGGGGAGCTGTGCCCCTCAGAGACAGCAGGGCCAGCGCCGGTGTGCTCGCTGTGCCAGGAGGGTCTGCCGAGACCCTGCACCTTCCTGACTCAGCTGGGTGGGGAGAGGCTCAATTTATTCCCAGTTAAAGCTCTGGTTCCCTCCTGCATGTGCCCACCTGCAGACACATGCCCCCCAGGAGAGCATTCCCTCTCCCCAGGATCGGTGTGACCACCCTGGGCTGGTTTTTGTCCTGCCAGAAATATCCCAGAGCTTGAGTGGGCTCAAATCCAGGGAGAAATGAACCAAAATCCAGGCTGAGTTAACCCAGTAACCTGGATTGGGAAGCAGAGCTCCTCTGTGAGCAGCTGGAATCACTGAGCATCAAAACACCCAAAAGAGGAAGGCAGAACAAACACCAATAATCCCTCACCTGATCAGAGAGGTGCAGGAGAACCAGGAGAGCTCCAGGAGAGCAAACACGGTGGGTTTGTGGTGTTTGGGGACAGCAGGGACAACAGCAGCCTGTGGAGGCACAGGAGTGGAATCACAGAATTCCTAAGGGTGGAAAAGGTCGCTGAGCCCAGCTGTAACCCCAGTGCTACCACTACACCAAATGCCGTGGCACCATCCCACCCAAACATCACATCTATTTGGCAGCTCACCAAATAGACACAATTATTTCACACCAAAAAGGATTTTAGTAAGCAGGAAAAAGAGTTCCTGCCATATAAAGTTGGGCACCTGCTTAGTCAGTTTTTCTTGGGATCGAGCCTCACCTCACCAAGCCTAATTCCAGCCCTTTCCATAGCAACAACCCTGTTACACCAACAGCAGCGAGCACAATTCACACTTGGGTCCCTGGGGCTCTGGAATAACATTTGCCCCCAAACAAGCCCAGGCTCTGCAATCAGCGGCTCCTGCCTGCTCCCCTCCTCCCCAGGTACAGTAAATATTAACCACCACGAGGCTCAGGGAATCAGTCACTGGCCCAAGGTCGGCGGAGCCGAGGGCAGGAAAGGGAGCAGGGGTGTCCTTGGAGAAGGAAAAGGTCACAGATAAATCTCCGGAGGATTTTGTGAAGCCCAGAGCTGCAGCAGAGGGGTTTCTGCACATGGAGGGCAGCAGGGAGAGAAGCAGGTTCTGCTGTGCTGCTCCAGCCCAGCCCAGCCATCGCCTCTGGTGCCCACAGGGATGCAGGGTGCAGCAGGGCCGCTCCCCTTCCCAGGGTATTTCTTTTTATCATCCTGGAGACCCATCCTAGGAGACCTAGCCAAGCCCTAAATACTTCTTCCAGTTTTTATCTCTCTGACTTCGAGGCTTTATCAGCCTGAGCATTTTCCAGCCTTGCCAAAAGACAACAAAGATATTTGTTGCTTTGATAGGATAGCAATAAATAAAAAAAATTTTCAAATCAAAAATCTTCAGTAACACAATTTGTTTTACCACAAATGGGTTAAACATGGACTAATTTACCCCATGGGGTGGCTTCTTACACCTTCCCCTGGTACTGCAGCAGGGCAGGGGGCTGGGCCTTGGCTGCCACATCCCTCCCCACACTTGCCCAAGCAGGATCATCCCTGGGCACAAAAGGATTTTGGGATGAAGAATTTGGGTTTTACTCTAGATCATCCTCCAGGATTCAGGATGCTGCTCAGAACTGAGGGAGTTCCTCCCTGGTCGTTAACCCCCCAGGGCACCTCCCAGAGCCTGGAGCCCCCAGGAGAGCATTCCCTCTCCCCAGCATCGGTGTGACCACCCCGGGCTGGTTTTTGTCCTGCCAAACAGTTCGGTGGGAGATTAGAGGGAAGGCAAAGAGCAGCATGGGCAGGAGGAGCCCGGCACAAACACCATAAAGGGATTAGAGGGGCTGCGGCAGCCCGGTGGGGATTCCGGGAGGGAAGAAAGCTTCCTTCAGCGCAGGGAGCCGGGGGATGCTGCGGGGCAAGGTGGGGCTGCGGGAACGGGCTGGGAACGCGCAGGGATGGGGCAGGAGGTGGCCAAGGTGGGTCCGAGCCACTCTGAGGGGTCCCGCAGAGACCACCCAGGGCCAGGGGGGCTGTGCTGGCACCCCCCGTCCCGGTACTCACCCGCTTTTACACTTTGCTGCGAAGCTGCTGAATGGACAGCTTTCCTTTACAATTAAAACACGTTTAGGCAACAGCAAGTCTCCTTAGATTTGCACCCAAACCGCTTTGCTTTCCTTCAAATAGTGCTGCCATACCTTTCTCTGTGCACACACATATAAATACATATATATATGTG